TGGCCATCTGGGCACACTGCTGGCTCATATTCAGCCGGCCGTCAACCAGTACCCCCAGGTCCTTTTCCACCAGGCAGCTTTCCAGCCACTCTTCCCCAAGCCTGTAGTGCTGCATGGGGTTGTTGTGACCAAAGTGCAGGACCCGGCACTTGGCCTTGTTGAACCTCATACAGTTGGCCTCAGCCCACCAGAATCTGCTTTAGCCTATATACACCAAAGTTGCCAATCAAAGCTTGTGATGCAAAGTTAACATCATCTACTGCTCTATCTAGAACTTCATGGAAATAAAATTCTGAGGCAAAACTTAATTCTTAGAGGAACAGGCAAGAACAGCACATGTACTCACAGGTATTCGCAAGGCCCCAAGGAAGCTGATAGCCGATGTCCCATGTCTACCTTCCCCGGTGACCACAGAGCTGGAGTTCAATGTCACACTGCAATTTTCACAGTCAATAAGTAAATGCTGCATCTCTGGATCCTGCAATTTGCCCCAGCAACACCATACAAAAAAGAAAGGAACAACGCATCAAAACATGCATCAAGGAATCAGGTAATTCCAAAATAATTAAAAAAAAAATTATCCGTCTTATCACAGAAAGTTACAGCTAATAATAATATCTTGATTTGTATATACAGAGTACATAGTGCGAGTAGAGTATATACAGAATATCAGGTGAAACAAGCCCGGTTGTTAATGTTGAGTGCATGCACTCCATTATGGAATTAAGTTTCTGTTCTATCGTGGAACAGTTTCACGTTGAAAAGAAACACATATTAGAGTAAAATTCAATGGAATAAACCAATTTCCAGTCTTCCCTTACCCCACTACACAAATGTGGTCTAATTAAAACTGACAATCTACAGAGTACTGCAACACATTTCTGCATAAAAGCATGTATTATCTTCTTCCTGTACAAATATTAAGCCCAGACTTAATATTTTCAGACTCTGTAACATCACCTTATTCACCAATTTAAATACAGGCCATCTTTCCAATTGAATTATGGATACTGAATGCTTTATGCTAAGCAATCACTTATTTTTTCACATCTGTTTCACCTGTGCATTGCAATCCACAAATTATAAAAGCCTGGAGTTTACCAATATTACCTACAGTTGTGAATTCTGAGTTCTTTTCTAGCACTAGGAAGGATTTTACTTAATACTTCCACTGGCTGCTAAAAATACTTGTGGAGCAAGTTATCACGCAAGAAGAACAAGCCATCCCAGTCTAGCCATAAGTGTATCTCGTTATTTTTATCCATCTACCACACTGACATGAACTCTCAGAACAGAACTGGAAATTTACATCTTACAGCTGTACATAGAAAAAGAAATTTTAGGTATAAATAGTTCTTGGTACCTCCTTTCCAACTCAGAAAAAGGATGGGATGTAGCTATCCTCACTTTCACCTGCTTGCTGAGAAGCTTACCTAGCTGTGTATTTTTACTAGCTATGGATGTATCCTACATACTGTTGTCTTTCTCCCAATTCGTGTGCATTTGAATAAAGCCTTAGTGAAGAATTAAGCCTGAAATATGTATTTGGCTGTAGGTTAGTAAGGATAGAATGGCAGGCCATTCCATTTCCAGTAGTTATAACAAAGATTAAAATTTTTTGATTAATATTTGGTAAGCTGATGGACGAAGAAAGAAAAAAAAAAAATCAAGCACTGGACAAATTCAATTCTGCTATTTTACACCCAGAGATTCTAAATAAATTCTGGTTTTAAAGAACTTCATTTAGGAGAAGACACCAGGGAACCATCTGGGCACCTGAGCCCAGACAGCATAATTTCAGAAGCTGCCATGCAGCATCCAAAATATTTGCACAGGATTGGTAGATGGGATCCAGGATCTGCAGGAGACCCTGCACCTCGATGAAGCATTAAGTAGAAGACAGGAAAAACATCTAGGGACCTCTGACATGGCACTGCAAGCCCATGCTATGGCACGCGAGATGCTCCATCATTACTGTAAGTATTTATCTTCTGAAGTACTGGAGCAACTTCAAAACTTGAACTACTTTAACAGTAGCAATTCAAACCACCAGCTATTAACATTAAAAATTAAAAAAAGAGGTGGGAGAGGGGGAAGAAAAAAAGAGCGTGCGAAAAGAGAGCGCCTTAAGCAGTGAAGCTCCCCACTGGATTCAGTGGAAGACATGTCTAGGTAGTGTCTTAATTGAATATCTCTTGCTCAATTCGCACAGCAACCCTAACCAGGATTGTCTGAGAAACGAGCAGCATTACCTCAGACAGGTAGCTCCAAGCCTATTCAAGAAGAGAGGGTTCAATATTGAAGTGAAAATGACCAAAGTCCAAATAACTTATTTAGCAACTCACACTGGAAACTCTTATCGACAATATGGGATTTTTATACTGCACATAGCTAAATGATAAATAAAACCAGCAGTTTGTGCTTGGCAGAGATAATATTGTTCAGCCTTGCCAGCTTGTCATGGAGTGTGATTAGGCATATGGCAGACTCCTGATCTCTGGGGAAGGATTCATTATGCCTCGATTTTGTGTAATTTTTTTAAGAGGCCAACCTGATATAAGTAGTAATGAACACACGGAGGTATTTGGGTCATGCAGCCAAAATCACATTCTGCTTTCAATCACTGCTTATCCTGAATATTTGCTTTCTTTTTAGAGTAATTGAAGAGGTCGATGAAAAATCAGTAAAGGCTGCCATTCCAGTGTGCTTGGAGGAGACCAGCTCATAAATGCAAAACATCTGGTGTTTGTACAGGCACAAAAGCTGACTGCGATAATCAGCTCAGCGTAACTGCAACACAACCACTCTCAAAAGGAAAGATTCTCCTGTCAAAGTGGAGTTGAACAAGATTATCTTTTGTCACTGGCAGAAAACCAGGGGTGTCCCAAACAGTGACAAACAAGGATTTTTTTTTTTTTTTTTTTAAAATTTTTTCTTAAAGCTTTGTTAGGCCTCCACACTACAAACACATAACCCAAATGGCAGAATGGAGAAAAAAAATAAAAAAGGAATAGACGGGATCGCCAGCAAGTGCCCTCGGGCTTTGTTGTCCGTGTGGTCACACTGTCCTGCTCACAAGGCAGCACGGCTCAGCGTGCGAAGGGGTACGTCTTCCTCGCCCACTTGCCATGTAGGCTCTCTGCACAGGCTGACAGTGAGGGTCCCAATCAGAGTTACTACCAGAGTTAGAAGAGAAATATTTGTCTACTAATTTGCTGACTATATTTTAATTGTCTTCATAATTTGTCTAAAGACACCTCCATGTTTTTACATCTTCCTTTACTTTCCAGCTGGTTGTGAAATAATATTGACAAATGGTTTCTGGACCTGGAGACTGCTCTTGGGCAGCTCAAAATGAACATGAATAAACTCAGTACAGAGGGGGTTTAAGCTGGACTGATGAAAAATTCTGAGTAAAGTGTTTCCTTCACAAAAATTTCAAACCCTTTTCATCAACACTGATTATTCTTCCATGGGCAAAGGATGAAAAGAACAGGAAGTTTCTATTTTCCTGTAAAAGTCTGAAAGAAGTTTTTTAAAAAAAAAAGTTACCCTCTCAAGATATGATGTACCAAGTGTACTGAATACAAATACAAAATTTCCAATGGAAATTTTCAGTTAACGTCCATCACAAGATTAAATGTCTTTTTGCCCACAAATGGACAAATCCAGAATTCAGTTTCCAGTGAGAATTACCAGCACTTACGGTTACAAGTTTTAGGCAGGATTTCTGTGAATAACTGCTCATATTTAGAACTCTCTGTCTCCATCTCGTAAGTACATACATCTATTACATCAAAAAGGGAGAGAAGCGAGACTGCAAGGAGGGGACAAACACAGTAAATAGTTCAAAGATTTCAAATGGGCTATCTTTAGAATATTTTGTAGTGCATTACTTTTGCTGGAGTTTTATGAAGATCACAAGTTAAGACCAACTGAGCAAGCATGCTACCTTATTCAGCTCGGTTTGCAGTATTTATGTTAGACAATGCTTAATTGCCTCACCTGAAGTTACATTTGTGTATGAAGATGGAAGTAGATTTCAGCATAATAAAAGGAAGAGCAAGCTTTATCAATAGTAAATCTACTGTAAATATTTCAAGCGAGCTTTAGTAAATCTTCTATATCCTTTCACAACAATAGTTTATATTTTACCTGAGATTTGCTGGTTTCCTTCGCATTTAAGGTTGGCATCTGGACTCCGAATCGAGATGCACCATTCAGGAAGGTTTTGGAACTCTGAAAAAAACAACAACAAAAAAAAACAAGCAACAAAACTATGGAGTTTGTTTGTTAAAGGACTACATTAGTGTTAACCATTTCTCTGCAACAGTGTCTTGTGCATTGTTACATAAACATAACCCGAAATGAAGCATCTTTAATTTAATGACTGTGTATTTTGGGTTTCTAATGTTCTTCTGCAGACCTACGGCAATGTACATTAAATGCAATCACAAATTTATTTGAAGGCTAACTTCATACCATTTCTATGCAGAAGCAGCATATTGAATTCAGAGCAGTCATGCCATTCTTAACATCTTTAGCTGCTTTTTCCTCTACTGAACTTTCATTGCCATTGCAAACTTAGATTTTTCTCATAAGCAGATGATCCTAGTAGCAACTACCTAAGTTGATTTGTTTCAGGAAAACCTTGATTCTTCATTTCCCTATCCCTTTCTTTTAGCTTATGCTCACTGTATTGTTCTAACCCAGAAATGGACTGTGCTTTTGTGGGCTGGAGGGTTAACGAAGAGTCTGAGCACCTCCAGCATGCTCAGTACCAAAACCGAGCCAAAAAGCTACATTTTAGGCTAAGACCACAAGAGGCACTGCACGCTGCTCAGAGATGAACTGTTTTAAGTGTTTAATGACACTCTGGATGCCACGTTACACAGCAAAAAAACCAAACCCTGCCCCAAATAAAACTCCCCAAACCCACCACCACAAATAAAAAAAGAATGCCCATCCTCACTGAACATTTTAATTCAAAATTAATTGCTAGGTAATTCTTCCCCAGCAAAAATACAAGGATCTGTATTGCAGTATTCTTTAGACAAACTGCTATTCATCAACCAAATCCTTCTAAGAAGGCAAAAAACTTCTGAGGATAAACTAAAGTATTTCTGCTGCTCAACACGGAGCTGAGGTGCAAGCAGTCTTGGGCATGCATTCCCCAAAATGAACAAACAACACTCAACCCCCCAGGGGCTGATAAAACAGATTTTAAAATTTTATCTCACAGAAAATTAGGCTCTTGTCAATAAAATGATTTACAATAATCTGCAGGGAAGAAAGCCCATTATGTAGAGACAAGTCATCTACATCTTTACTCAGCAGCTCAGCATAGAAAAAATGAAAGATTTTTTCATTTGACTGTCAAAAATAAGATTTACTGTGGTAAAGAGGAAATGTCTGGGGAAAAGGACTAGACTGAGAGGCTGCACATTTAATACTTAGTCTTCTTTCTCCTTTTCAGAAGATAAAAATTGCAGCCTGGTATCTTTTAAATGCAGAAGCACTTTACCACAGGAGTTTAAGAGATCTAAGTTTCCTGGAAATTCAAAATCAGGTTAAAGAAAGTTCCTAGAACATAAAGACAGGTCTGTATGAACATGCTACAACTAACATGTTTACCTATGGAAAAAAAAAAGGTACAGGGAGAAAAGATGGAAAGCAATAAAAACAGTTCTAAACCACCACATTTCACAAATGCCATTAAATCTGCTCTTTAACTTTCATTATGAAAGTGCACCAATGCTTAAGAAAGCACGCTGACTTCTTGCTTGCATTTGTCATAGGTATAGCCTTTTGGAAAGTCATAGATTAAGCCTCCAATGCTAGCATTTAAAGGCACTTTACTGTACTCAAATATTTGTTTTGAAAAAAATTTCAGATTCACAAATCGGAGCCAAGGTGAATACAAGCAAACGAAACACAGCCCCCCAAAAAAGGTGAATAAAGAGTAAGAACCACGCATTCAAGGCTCTGTGTCTGGCTCTCTGTCTGTGCTTCTGGACAACTCAGTGAAATCAGATTACTCACCACTACAAACTCTGTAGAAATACTGAGCTTATGATCACGCTGCAAATAAACAGTAGATCAAATTCATCAAGACAGTGATATCACACAGACATTAATCTGATATATAAATCTTAATATAAATCTATCGTAAGTCCTTCCCTCATGTTGAGCATTTATTTTAGTTGTGCTTAAATTTAACTGGCCTCATTCTTCCACAATGAGGTTCGGCTTTTGGCACCAGCTGGCAGAGCTGCCTGCACTTAACAAAGACATCTGTCCATACTGCAGCCTTATGAGCAAAGCAAGTGCGTATGCTTCTTTAATGTCTTAGAAAAAACATTCCTAACTATTTGTAAAAGCACACAGGTTGTTCATGTTGTCACTGAAATGACTGAGCAAAAAAGGACAGCTAGCATTTTATGCCTGCCAGCAAGTTCTACCCCTTGTACAACACAGCTGAAATACTTTGTTCCCGGTAATAACACAGTCATTTTACTACATGAACCTTCCTTCAATTAGCAGTTTTCTTTACAGTCAGACATTGTCATTACCACATCTGCATTTGTAGGGGATCTTCTTGAACTTCTGTTCTTACCTTATTCATTTCCTTAACTTCTAAACCCACCCTCCCTGCAGAGAACAGAAGCTGTGAGCCCTACTCATTAAGGATTTAGAATCCATTGTACTTTGCGGACCACACAGGTCTGAAGAGAGGTATGTGAGCAATTGAAATGGCATACAGCTTCCCAAGACAATGGCAAATGTTAATCTGAAAAAGGTCCAAGGCAGGTGAGGAGGCACTTTTATAAACCTCCTACAAGATATGCAGATGTGAATATATGGAATAAGGAAGAATTGATGCCTTTTGCTCTGGAGAGCAAGGTTTCCAGGGAAACAGAAGGTCAAATGCATCCCTACACAACGAGACTGCACCTAGAGCAGTGATCTTGCTGGTGTCCTAGAGATTAAATCAAATGCTGGCCCTTTTCTGGGACTGGGGGAAAGGATGGTGAACTCTATGTATATTAAACAGCCACTGAAGTGTTCATGGGAGCATTTCCGAACTACATAAAAGCTAAGGAAAAAAAGGCCTCCTGTTAGGAGTCTCTTAAAATATTCTCATACTTGACAGAAGTTACCTTTAAGAAATGAAAGAGAATTAAATGAAAAATTCATAGAATCATAAAGGTTGGAAAAGACCTCCAAGATCATCAAGTCCAACCGTCAACCCAACACCACCATGCCTACTAAACCATGTCCCCAGAATGCCACATCTACATGTTCTTGAACACCTCCAGGGATGGCGACTCCACCATCTCTCTGGGCAGCCTGTTCCAATGCTTGACCACTCTTTCAGTAAAGACGTTTTTCCTAACATCCAGTCTAAACCTCCCCTGACACAACTTGAGGCCATCTCCTCTCGGCCTAGCGCTTGTTACTTGGGAGAAGAGGCTGACCCCCACCTCACTACAGCCTCCTGTCAGGCAGTTGTAAATCATGATAAGGTCTCCCCTCAGCCTCCTCTTCTCAGCCTAAACAACCCCAGTTTCCTCAGCTGCTCCTTATCAGCCTTGTGCTCCAGACCCCTCACCAGCTTTGTTGCCCTTCTCTGGACACGCTCCAGCACCTCGATGCCCTTCATGTAGTGAGGGGCCCAAAACTGAACACAGTATTCAAGGTGCAGCCTCACCAGTGCCGAGTACAGGGGCATGATCACTTCCATGCTCCTGCTGGCCACGCTATTCCTGATACAAGCCAGGATGCTGTTGGCCTTCTTGGCCATCTGGGCACACTGCTGGCTCATATTCAGCCAGCTGTCAACCAGTACCCCCAAGGTCTTTTTCCACCAGGCAGCTTTCCAGCCACTCTTCCCCAAGCCTGTAGCGCTGCATGGGGTTGTTGTGACCAAAGTGCAGGACTCAGCATGTGGCCTTGTTGAACCTCACACAATTGGCTTTGGCCCATTGATCCAGCCTGTCCAGGTCCCTCTGCAGAGCCTCCCTACCCTCAAGCAGATCAACACTCCCACCCAATTTGGTGTCATCTGCAAACTTACTAAGGGCACACTCGATCCCATCATCCAGATCACTGATAAAGATATTAAACAGAACTGTCCCCAAGACTGAGCTCTGGGGAACACCGCTTGTGACCAACCAACAACTGGATTTAAGTCCATTTACCACCACCCTTTGGGCCTGGCCATCCAGCCAGTTTTTTACCCAGCGAAGAGTGTGCCTGTCTGAGCCATAATCTGCCAGCTTCGCTAGGAGAATGCTGTGGGAGACTGTGTCAAAGGCCTTGCTGAAGTCCAGGTAGACATTTAATATGACTCAAGCTTAAACCAGTCACCCATGCTGGCTGGGCCTGATCCCCTGACTGTCCTGCACAGGCCTTGTGAGTGCACTCAAGACAAACCACTCCGTAACACTCCCCGGTACCAAGGTCAGGCTGACAGGTCTGTAGTTCCCTGGATCCTCCTTCCGGCCCTTCTTGTAGATGGGCGTCACATTGGCAAGCCTCCAGTCATCTGGGACCTCCCCTGTTCCCCAGGGCTGCTGATAAATGATGGAGAGTGGCTTGGCAAGCTTCTCCACCTCAGTACCCTTGGGTGGATCCCATCCAGCCCCATAGACTTGTGAGGGTCCAGGTGGCACAGCAGGTCACTAACTGCTTCCTCCTGGATTATAGGGGGTTTATTCTGCTCTGTGTCCCTGCCTTCCAGCTCACGGGGCTGAATACCCTGGGGATAACTGGTCAGACTATTAAAGACTGAGGCAAAGAAGTCATTAAGTACCTCAGCCTGTTCCTCATCCTTGGTGGCAATGTTCCCCCCCCGCCCCATCCATCCAATAAAGGATGGAGATTCTCCTTGGGTCTCTTTTTGTTGTTGATGTATTTGTAAAAACATTTTTTGTTATCTCTTACAACAGTGGCCAGATGCAGTTCTAGCTGGGCTTTTGCCTTCTAATTTTCTCTCTGCATGACCTAACGAGATTCCTGTACTCTTCTTGCATTGCCTGCCCCTTTGTCCATAACTGGTAAACTCTCCTTTATTTCCTAAGTCCCAGCAAAAGCTCTGTATTCAGCCAGGCCAGTCATCTTCCCCTCCAATTTGTCTTATGGCACATCAGGACAGCCTGCTCCTGTGCCTCTAAGACTTCCTTCCTGAAGAATGCCCAGCCTTCCTGGACCCCTTTGCCCTTCAAGGCTGCCTCCCAAGGGACTCTCTCAACCAGTGTCCTGAACAGACCAAAGTCTGCCCTCTGGAAGTCCATGGTGGTGGTTTTGCTGACCCCCCTCCTTACTTTGCCAAGAATTGAGAGCTCTATCATTTCATGGTCGCTAAGCCCAAGACGGCCTCCGACCACCACCTCTCCCACCAGTCCTTCTCGGTCTGTAAACAGCAGGTCAAGCGAGGGACCTCCCCTGGTAGGCTCACTCACCAGCTGTGTCAGGAGGTTATCTTACACACACTCCAGGAACCTCCTAGACTGTTTGTTCTCTGCTGCGTTGTATTTCCAGCAGACGTCTGTTAAGTTGAAGTCCCCCATGAGAACAAGGGCTAGCAATTGTGAGACTTCTGCCAGCCGCTTGCAGAATGCTTCATCTACCTCTTCATCCTGGTCGGGTGGTCTATAACAGACTCCCAGCAGGATATCTGCCTTGTTGGCCTTGCCCCCTCATCCTTACCCATAAGCACTCAACCTTATTGCAATCCTTGAGCTCTGTACAATCAAAACACTCCCTACCCTAACATACAGAGCCACCCCACCCACCTCTATTTCCTTGCCTATCCCTTCTGAAGAGCTTATAGCCATCCATTGCAGTATGCCAGTCATGAGAGGCATCCCACCACGTTTCCGTGATGGCAACGAAGTCGCCTGCTGCACAGTGGCTTCCATCTCCTCCTGTTTGCTGCCCATGCTGCGTGCATTGGTGTAGATGCACTTGAGCTGGGCTATCGATTTCACCTCCAACATTGGCATGCCACCCCTAGGCTCCTCTCTAGTGAGCCTGGTTATATTCCCTTAGAACCTAGTTTAAAGCCCTCTCAATGAGACCCACCAACTCATGAGCAAGAACCCTTCTCCCCCTTTGAGAAAGCTGAGTTCCGTCTGTCACCAGCAGGCCCAGTGCACAGAGCACATTGTGAGCACACCTTATCTCACAGTAACAAACTAAGAACAGGAGTTCCACAGACCACTGAAAATATTCAAAAGCTTTATCAGGAGTACTTCATATGACAAGAAAAAAAAAAAACATTAACTGGTAAAGAAGAGATAACACAGACTAGAAAAATCGCCTTCAGTCACTACTCAAGAAGACAGCATTTAAAAATGTAAAAAGCCATCTGTCTGAAACTATTGGAGAGGTGGTAGAAAACCAGCAATCATCCACCTGCGAGACTTGCAGCTAAAAGGTATAGTTCACATGTGTAGACAATCTCCATGTATAATCCCCCTAGCACTAGAAAACATATGTGGGATTCCCTTGGGACTTTACCTCCAATTTTCCCTCCTTTTGCAACAGCCCTGATGTGCCCTCACACATGGGAAACCTTAAGACCTTCTTTGCCAATCTCTCCCTACTATTCTTCCAAAGAACTAGTTGAAAATGTGGCAGACCTGATTACCCACAGGTCCCTGGGATCCAAAGGAGAAAGAGCCTGGAGCAACACGCTGCTCTAGGTTTTGCTTACAGTAGAGAGAAACACATACCAGAGTCTTATGGAACATGAAACTGAGACGAACCTGAGATGAAACTGAGATGAACACATTCCTAAATGAAACTGGGCTACAAATAACATTCTGTTATGAGAAGTTATACACAGCTGGTCTTCCTAATGCTCTTGTTTTGTTCCCTTTCCTTTTTATTTTTCTCTCGTTCTGTTTGGATTACCTCCCTCCTCTTGGATCACAGCTACATGAGGCAAGAAAGGAATTGTCTTCTCATGTAGTAGCTAAAGCTTTCTAAGGCACATCTTTTTGCCATTGACACGGCTTTCTACATCACTTAATTTTGAGTACATAAAGTGTCTTATGAACTTTTGTTTCAAAAGCATTCGGCAAACACCTTGATACCAGAACTTAACCACTTCCAACCTAATTTTAAAATAGTGTTTGAACAATCTTATGCTAACACTTAAAGAGAAAGCTTTCCTTTTAGAAACAATTAAAAAAGTTATGAGTTTTACTGCCACGATGGCACAAGGAAGTATACACGCAATGTTCAGGAACCCAAAGAAAGCTTAGACATTTGCACACCCCCCCCCCCCACTCTTCAATCCTGCTTCAACAATGCGTTACATGGTCAGTCTCTGATGCTGGATTTTCAAACTCTTACGCCAAGAGAGTTGCATCTTCCCTTGTGATCCAGGCAGTGCGTGTTCCACAGTTTGTGTGTGTGTGACAGTATATTTACAGCTTGGTGAAGTTCACTACCTTGCCAAAATTTAAGTCCTTGAAGTATAGCCTCTCATACCATAGCAACACCTACTGCCTTGATGCCAGTAAAACATGTGATTGATACATTCTATAAACTAACTGTATATTAAAAAAAAAAAAAAAATCATAAACAGCATCTCCATCCTTGAGGATTTCAAAATTTGACATGCAAGCCCTAAGCAATGTGATCTTATGTCAGATTTAGACCTGGTACGAGCAGAGAGTAGGACCATATAAAGTCCACAGGTCCCATTCCTTCTCAACTAAGTTATTCTGTGAATCCACAAAAACTAAAGTATTGATTTATCATGTGACCCACACTGCTAAGCACAGATTATTTCACTCTCCTTTTCACAGCTCTTCATTAATGTCAGCTTTGGTTAAATAAAGACCATATTATATTACAACTAAACTCACTGTCACAGACTGCTCCAATCTCTTCACTTCAGCTTCATATCCATCCCTTGCTTCCTCTTTGCTGTAGCCATGTGCTCCTACTGTCCTTCCCTCTATTGGAGGGAACATCCCACCTTCCGTCCCCAAACCCATAAGATGCATGGTTCATTGACACTGTGTCAGCAAAAGGGCTGTTTGCCATGCAATGCCTAATACAGGGTTCTACAAACAGTGAGACCCTTCACAGGACATGGTTGGCAGCTATCTCATTATGCCACACCTAAGCAAAGAAGGCAACGGCAGGAGATAGGTCAAAATGTTCTGAAGATGCCCAGGGAGACTGGAGGAAAGTAAGAAAACTCAAAAAAAAATGAACAGTTTTTACTTGCTTTACTGTAGTAAGGAGACTGGAGGAAAGTAAGAAAACTCAAAAAAAAGATGAACAGTTTTTACTTGCTTTACTGTATTATCTATTCCAAAACTTCAGTTAAAACAAACTCATTCATCTCTTGATTCACATTGCTTTGATAGAAAGTAAGCTACTGGTTTACCAGTGAAACACAGAAGACCAATCATTCCCTCAGGTATAGGGTCAGTTACAACAGCCTGGCACAAAAGGGCCATGCAGATTATCCAATTTCCAGAATGCCCATAATAAACATGTGTATTAGGAGACAAAAATCAAAATAGAAAACGCATTCACTTACACTGGATGGTGTCCAGGAGCAACTTACATCTTTCGGATCTGAAATACAATACCATGCATAGTTAATAGTAAAAACAAGGACAATGAATATCTCTTAAAACATCTAACTAGTAGCGTAATTTACCAACAATAAACCAACAGTACAGATAACACAGAAGTACTCCTGGTAGAAATGTGTAACTGTAGCGTTAGAGAAAAAGAAGAGGGTGCTCCATGGTACCCTTTCCCATCCTACGACCACATTAAGTGCTATTCTGACAGTACAACTCATTACAGCATTCTAGTTATATCTGAAGAACTTTTTACTTCCTGAGGTAGGCCAGTTACGGTAAAACAATCATTCGTACTAGTATCTCTGGGTCTAGGTAGGGACAACATGGGGCATTCCTTTTTAATTTTGAGTTTAAAGTGACAAAACTTGCTCTATCAGATGATTTCTGTATTTCATAGCACAGAATATGGATGGCGTGGGTTGAGTGACAGCACAGTATATACACTGCAGCCAAGTAGGACATTCTAAGATAAACTTGAACAATTTATAAAGACAGGGAACTAATGACAGTGCAGCGGACTGAATTCTGAAGTGTTACTCTCAGGTACGCCACAGTCTGGGCATATGAGCTTTCTAGATGCACAGAAGTTCTCCTCCATCTAGTGTTCTAAGAAGAATTTTTATAAGTACTGGCATAGCTTGAGGAATATACTTTGCACTGAGTCATTTAGCTTAAACAGCTGCTGTTCTTCCCCCATAATGAGCCCTCCATGGTTCTATCCCATCAAACCACTTACGTTCAATAAGAAACAGGAAACAAACAATCCCCATCACAGCAATGATGACGCCAGGCATCACGAAGGAGAGACCCCAGCACGTAGACACCCAATAAGCAGCAATTAAGGATCCCAAGATATTTCCCACTGAAGTGTGTGAATTCCAGATTCCCATGATCAAACCTCTCCTGCATTTAAAAAAAAAAAACCAAAACACACAAACATTTCTTATTATTCCAACAATAAGCATTACTATCCTGAGAAAAGTGTATAAAAATGACTTTTCATCCATGGTGTTAGTGAAATATTTTTAATCTTACTGTTCTTTAACTGACCGCTTCTTTGTGTTAGCCTTTCATCTGGCAATTTCAAGGCACCTAAATATTAACAGAAGTGTTCTAAATACTTCTCTGTGCATAACAGCACTCATCCTGCATTTAAAGGCATCACTAGGGCTTGCATATTTCTGGATAGTTTCTTTGATAAAAACAGATGCATGATGATGTGTAGCACGTGCACACTAAGTCTGATGCTTCTGAGAATGAAAGTCCTCCTGCAAACACATTGCACTGATAATCCATGCTTTCAGGATACATTAGACTTATCATGCAGAAGAAAACAATCTGTACAGGTTAGCTAGAGCAAATTCAGTATTTTCTGATCAAATTCTGGACTTGCTAGGCACTAGTAGAAGATAACACCGGCATCAGCTTGACTAACAGACACATGAAATTGCTGTCTGCCTGGAAACCCCAGATTAGAGTTGCTGTAGAAGAGCTCTAACTGAGCTAATATAAACCATAAAAATCCTACTGAAGTCATGACAGTTAATAGGGTTTTTTTCTTCCCTTGTAAGACATGGGAAAACTGTCTTGCCCTCAGCAGTTTACCTGGAGCAACCTAATTCAAACTAAACCAAATCTTTTCCTTTTGGCTGAAGACAAGATCTAAGAGGTCTGCTCATGTTTCACAGAATTTATAGCAAAATGAAAACAAGAACCAGATCGCTGACATTCAAATCAGAGCCCTATCCACCAGTCCACTATGCGGCCTCCTAAAAGTAAAAGTTGTTGCTTTTGCCCAAAGCAAAATCTGAATAAATGTATTTGTTTTGCACAGACTTGCCAATTTTGTTCAGTGTTGTACGATGGTTATCGTTCTCTGCATTTTGCAACATTCACCAAAAAGGCTGCACGGACTACAGAAAACCAGTCTGAGCCCACATCTTCTTAACTATCCCATAATTTTATATAGAAAGCATATACTTAATTTTCGTATGTCCTTCTCTTGAACCAATTGACAATAATGTTCATTCAATGGTATGTATCTACAATGGATGGTACTACAGTAGCAGCACTATATGCTACATGCATCAACCATTATCAGAGCCAATGGATTTAGCATGCTAGTCTTGCAAAATTTATGGAAAACTCCTGTATGGTGTGACAAAAGAAACATTATGAGTGCTCTCTATGCAGGATTAAGGAGGAAAAAAAAAGGATGATTTAAACAAAGTGACAAAAAGAAAGGTTAAATCAGTTGCCATGTGTATTTTCTTTTTTTAAATTAAATTTTCAAGTTTCTGTAAGTGTGTTAGAAAAAAAGACATTAGACAAGCAGGTACTTTTGGAGTTGCACCCTGACAACTGCTTTGCAATACAAATGAAAACATGGGAAATCCCACGTTAAAATGGCATAACAACATCCTTCATTAAAAGTGGGTTTAGACTTAATATTTGCAGGAATTAGTCTTAATTCACTTCTGGAATATTTCATCTGAAAAATTAAACATCAGACTAAAGAGCTACCACAGAACAGTGTTTTGACGTGAGAAATAACATTTCAAACAGATATATCAACTACTGAGCATAACAAGGGAAGCTCCTCTCAAAGACCTAACTGCTTGTTTCACCCCAAAAAACCACTACAGCAAAAGAAAGCTATTTAAATTTACTATAATATTACAGCCCAGAATGTGTTGATCTGTACTTGAAAAACTTTGGATTACATATTATTTACCTTCCTTTTCCAAACCAGTTGCCAATACATGTAACGACACTCGGCCAGCCAGTAGTTTGCACCAACCCATTAGCTATCTGCAAGTATATAAAAATAATAAACAAACATACCCTATAATAAGTCAGGTTCCTACACAATTTGAACATCCGGCAAAGCATGTTTGCAATCAAGCAAAGCAGAAAAAAAGAAAACTTTAGCGGAGACTGGATAATTTTGAACATTAAAATGCTTAACAGATACCTGTACATAAACCAAGAGGAGAAACTTAACTTACTATATTCAGGCTGAAGTACAAACTATTTCAGCCTCCATGTTGCACAGATCAAAACACTAACTCATCTCAACTCCTAAAAAGCTCCCTATCTAGAATTACACATTAACACAGAGATCACAGTGCAATAATCCACATGCATAATGAGCATTTGAACATGCAACGAAACAATCTCACTCTACCCAACAAAACCCAATTAGGCTGGTGGTGCAAGACCACCCTTGGTGGATTCACTGACCACGTCATGCAGTGCAGCATTGGTAGAGATAGATAGCTTAACCCTAAAGAAGCCAGCTCCTGTCTTGGAAATCACATAAGCCAGGAGCGCTGGGGCAGTGACACGGTTAAGTGGATGACTCAGTGAAGTGGTTATAAAAGCTTGCAGTACCCAAGTTAGTATCGTTGCATGCCACGTTGCACAATGTCATGCAAACACGCCAGTGGTGAAAGTGCTACTGCAGTAACACAAAGAAAGCAGCAGTGCAAGGTGCAGACCTGTGCAAAACAGTTTAGAAGTGCTAACAATATCCTGGTCCTGACAAATTCCACTTTAGGCCAATGGTAAATACTCTTGTGACACCTGATTAGATCTACAAGTGCTCTAAAAAATCCCACACAACAAAACTTGTTACAGAAGCTGCCTGTTCTCAGCCACACCAGTGTGGGAGACTGTTCGTCATTAGCAGTATAAATGTAATTTTCCTGCAGAGAAAGCCAGGATGCGTCACTCAGGTCTTGGCAGACTGACAGAAGTAAATACATTTGTTTTAAAACTCGCCCACACTTGAGTTTGCAAAGATTTGATCACTGATTTGACATAGGCTGAAACACTTTAATTTGTTTTCAAAGATGTCTTCCATTAAAAAAAACATTTTTAAAAAATAAAACCTGGGGCTATCCACTCTATCACCTCTGCCTGTTGTCAGTGACAACGTATGCCAGCATTTACATCCTCCCATCCAACCACAAATCATTGTTTGCAACCGAAAAAACCACAATACAACACTAAACAGCACCATGGAAACTCAAGAGTACCTAAATAACATCGTGCCTACCTGTGCCATTATGTAAAACCACAGATTATGTATATTATAGAAATAACCCAATCCAAACATTGCAGTGAAGAATCCACTAGCAAGCATCCCGACTGTCAGATAGTACCGGATAGGTAGCCGTTCTCCTATTATTCCACTTGGAATGTGGAAGGAAATAAAAAGAAAGGCAATAATTAAAAATAAGATCATACCCCAAGCCTTCACAAATAAAGAATATTTTGTGGCGTGTAATTCTGGTTGAAGAGAAACTTTACTGGTAACTGCTGTTTTCTTCACAGCAGCAAATGAGCAATTTTTAGCACTTGACAGAAAAACCCAAACTTTTGGTGTTCACTAATTGCCAAGTGCTGACATCTGCCCAACCACCTTTCAGGGATATACTCACCTGGAGCACATCAGAAGTCTTTTACTTACAGAGCCATTTTCCAAATGACCCATAAGGTAGGACATGTCTCCAGCCATTTAAAGTGAGACTAGTCTTCCTTCCTAATGATTCTAGTTATGAAGGTTCTGATTTTGGTCAATAAAAAGAAGCATCTCCAAACAGCAGCTAATATTGCACATTTTAAGATGGGTTCTGGATTACTTTTTAGGAGGTGTCTGCTTCTGTCCTGTGACTACAGAGAAAGCCAGGACAATCAGTTTAGTCTATATGTGCAAGCTGGAGACCGATAAAGTCGAGGACATATATTCCAGCATATATTCCTTCATATTCCACATGAAGGAAAGATAGGCTAGGCTGCAAGTTGGAAAGTATTCCTGCACAAAGCAGATAGGATGGGTGCAGGTAAGAAGCCTTCTGTATACCAACAGGTATGACACCACCAAGGATTCAGGGTGATGTGGTTTTTTTTCCTCAGCAACCAAGTTCTCACTCTCTTCACCAGAAACTTTACAGTAGGAAAGGACAGTATCTCAGAAGTAGTACAGCCTCACAAATAAACAGTAAGCAATAAAGCAGGTTTCTGAAAGAACGAGGTTTACCTTAAATACATTCCAATTGCATATGCACACAGAAACGAATAATCCAGTGCTCCCAGTAACTGTTTGTAGTTGTTCTTATCTAAGATAATTTGCAAACGAAATTATCAGTTTAAATGTACCAATAATTTCCCAACCATTTTTACATATTACAAGAAGAATGTTAGTGAACATGCACTGACGTTTAATTTTCAATAGGCACTTTTAGACTTAATAATGCATTTTGCAGAACAAATCCCCTCTACAACTGAATCTTTTGCCTGTAACATTAGGAAAATATCGGTAGGCCCCTTCTTAATTCCACCTTATTCAAAACAGCATTTGGAAGAGAAGAAACATCAGCTATTAATAAGGTGCCCTTTCCTTATAGGTCCTTAGACAAAAGAAAACTTTAACGGACTTCATTAACAGTGGAAAGATGTGTTGCAAATGTGTGAGGTCCTACCAGTCAAAAAAAAAAAAAATAATCCACCTTTGTATAGGCTGCTAAGGAATCAGCTTAATATATATTTTTTGATGGTTAAAGCCTTTTGCTTTTTATTTTCTAACTACTCGTAAGGCACAGAGACAAAGTCTTGGTTAAAAAAAAAAAAAAAAAAACAAAAAAACCAAAACCAAACTCAGGATTCTGCTCTGTACAGCAAATGACCATAATCACAATTAAATGGGACTTGCAGGCAGGATGGAGGGAACAGGAGGGCCTCCACCCAGATAGAAACACCAAATCCAGCCTCAAGAGACCTGAGCTCATAGCAGGAAAGACAGTTTCTGTATTTGCAAGGAGCCACAATTGCCACCGACTTTGAGAATAAAGTCACAGTTATTAAAGCATTCCTCCTTTCACGGTTACTCCCAGCTTGCCAGCTATGTTGCCAGAAAAACAGAGCTGAAAACAAGCCTAGAGTGCCATCCCAAAAGGGTAGCTTTGCAATAACCTGTATGTTCATGGAAAAAGGAGGACATTGGAGTGCAGGAGCCTCCATTAAGAAAGGTAACTCGTGTTTTAGACAAGCAAAGTCAGTATCCCCTTGGTCCACGGATGAGAAACAGCAACCAAGTTCAACTGCACCCCAATACATTTGGAAACCTGTGGGACTGTATAATTTCAGTAGACTGATTACCTTGTAGCAGGCAGTTAATACACAGAATTTTGTCCAGAGAAAACCCACAGCTCAGATCTTTAATTATCCTTGAACAGAGTAGGACTTTTTTTTAATTGCTAATTAAAGAATAATTAGAATGGATGGCTAGATAGACTGGAGTGGACTGGCATAGTGACAGAATGGACTACTCTACTTCGCTGATGTTCTTGGTAGTGATAAAACGGTCAAGGAATGATTCAAAATCTCTATTAAATTCAAATACAATTAAATTAAAATTCAATTCTAAGTAGGCAAATATTTTTTCCATTTAAGTGAAAGGCCAGGTTCATAAGCTCTTCGGTAAGTTGTCAACTCTATTCTGCAATAGTGTCCCATTTTTCTCCATTAAAATGGGTAGAAAAATATACTTTCTGGCAGATAAGGCCTCTGAAAAGTTCTAACTTAGATAAAACATCAAGTTTAAGTGATTGCTGGACCTTGAATTAAAACAGCAGAAAATTATAATGATTTATTTCATTCTTTACCCTTTTTTTCCTTAATAGAGATTCTAAAGACAAATCCCATTTTCTGGCTAAAAACTGATCTGATCTACTGAAATCATCTCATAGCTATAGCAGATAAAATGTCAGTTGTTTAAGTGACTTTAAGTAGGAAAGACATAGGTAATTCACAACTTAACTTTCTTTGGAAAAAATCACTGAGAACATGGAAACAAAACACCCCTCCCACACAGATCTCCCGAATCCCTCTGCACATGAAGAAGAAATAGCAAGAGGCAAATAATCTAATTATGAATACCAGCTTGTTATTATAGAAGAAAAAAACAAAATCAAAAAAGCAACCCTTACCAAACGGCTCCCAACCACACTGAGATACATTAGATGGCTTTTTGACAGGCTGAATCTGGGCAGCATATTCTTTGTATGTGTTGAGTTCAACTTCATGTGAAGCAGCACAATGCTTATGCAGCTCTCCCTGATAAAGAAAAGGAAATTTGGAAAAGGAAAATTCACTTGTGAATGTTAATCTCCATACAGCAACAAATTTAACAATTCTAGCTCTGTATGAACCTGTGTTAAATCCCCTGAAATGAGTAAAATTGTTAACCATTATTAACTGTTTGGTATTTTGCTGGGTGAAGCCACCTTTGCATGAAAGAGTAATTACGTGGTTAGAAACAACATGCTGTAGTGAACTGGTGTTTCTCATACTGCAGAATTTCAAAATTCTTCACTAATGCCAAGCTGCTTTGCCTACTGTCACTCATCAGTTATATACGATACAGCCCCAGGGGATTTGATTTATATTTGGCAAGTCATACAGGCCAAAGATTAAACTAACAAACACAGGATTAGATAATATTTTGCCACCGGCTTCACTGGGAACAGAGTCCCAAGTGTACAGACAACTATGACTATGATGCCCAACAGTACATGGAACTGTTTTGTAAATGTCAGTAGAATTTTATGATGTCTGACTCAGTTATGAGCAACTTTTCTCAAACATATGAATGTAAGCTTGTAAACTCTTAAATATCTATAATTAGATTAATTCACATGAATTAAGTGTATGCATAGCTGTGTCAAGCCTTAAGCCCAAAGACTGGATGTATACACAATATTCTAGGTGTGGTCTTACTAAAGTTTATCAAGTAAATGTCACCATGTTCTAGGTGTATCAATTTTTTCATCTTTTAAACCATACTAAGTTAAACACTGCCTTTCACAAAAGGAAATACTGGAAAAGACAACTAGTTCCCTGTTTGACAGGAGTGGAAGAATGTTTAAACAAGGACGCAACCTTGCTTACCTTAACTATACTAATAGGTTTCCTTGATAAATGGAAGCTGGCATACAACAAAAAAGTGAGAGAGAAAATGAAGGCTCTATACCTACAATTAAAAAAAAAAAAGCATATTTTAAAATTATTTTATTCATATTTACTTTTAGCACTAAGTTACATAAAAACATTACACAAGTCATTGGTAACCTTGGAATAGTGGAAGACAACTTTTTTTCCATGTTCTCTAACAGCCTGAAGAACCACCCGAGCAGTTACGCTGCTTTACAACATCTGCTCTGATCTGGCTTTGGGAGGGAGCTTGGTAGCACGCAGGACAACGTAGCAGCGCTCTGGAGTCCGCAGAGCTGATCTGCCTGGTTTACAACCTTCCTTTGGGGGCTATTAAAAGGCAGTTCAACATTAAACATACTGATGACCAGATTTCACATTTCACTGTCTCATCCAGATTTCTGGTACGATTAGGACATAGATGACTGTGCTATGAACTGTCAGTTTGGCTACTGTGGGTTATTGCTTCTTTCTTTCCTTACTGCTTCTTTCTTTCCTTACTGCTTTTAGGATTTTGCTTTACTTTTGCCTTCCTCTGGAACAACAGAAATCAACCATTTCTAGAGACAGATAGGGGACTGACACTGACTGTGTGTACTGTCCGCTGAAGCACATAACATAATTAACCAGCTTTGGGATTGGGAAGGAGTTTTCCTTTGTACTTGGGTCTTTCTCTGCGGTTCACCTGAATTAAAAGGGCATCTCAAACTCCCTGTCACGGCAAGCGTTAAACAAGGATAATCTAATCTAATCTATTCTCTACCTGTGGCACATTTCAGTTGTTTAAGAAGGAGAGCATTTTGTGGATTTGTGTTTTTAACAACAGAGAGATCAGAGTGTATCCCACCAGCTCCTTCTAGCCTTGATCTTAAAATTAACATCTGTAAATAAAAGTACGCATATACATACCAAGATGTGATATCACACAGCCTACCATGGTCCCTAATTTTTAATTAACCTTTTTTCAATTGTTTTCTGCCTTATAACCTTTTACATAACAAGGGTCTTGTTTTATAGTTCTGGCATATTCACAGAGACATTTTAAAAAAAAAAAAAAAAAAAAAAAAAAGTGAGTTATCCCACAAGTTGAGTTATTCACCCCCATAACTGAAAACATCCTCGCAAGTGATAAAACTGAAATGATTTTTTCCTTGATGCTCTACTAGGGAAAGCATGTGATAAAATTGCTCAAATGGGAAGCGCTTGGTCTGTCATTTGTTATTTTTTTGTTATTCACACACAATTGACTCAGTATTCTATCTCAGAAAGCACAAGAACTGATGCCATCTAACTTCCAGGATTAGTTTTCCTAAAGCAAAGAGGTTCTGGTTTTCGTTATTTTTTTTTGGTTGGTTGGTTGGTTTGGGGTTTTTTTGGTTTTGTTTGGTTTTTTTTTTAATATTACAGCAGCAAGAACTAAAACTGTAATTCTACATGTGTATATTGTACCTCAAATTACAGGGGAGAAAATATACTTCCGGTTAAGAAAAGAAAGCTAACCTCGAGCACCCCTCCCACCTAGGAGTTTGAAAATAAAAATCTGAAATTTATCCCTTCAAATATGTACCTACCTTGCAAAGTAAAGGACAAAAGGCTTTATTCTCTAGCACACTTGACTAGTAAGGGTCTGTCTGGGTTCCCCCAACAAAGTATCTCACTTTTAAAATGTCAGCAATATTTATTTATTACACAACTGACTGTATTTTCTTGCTGTAGATATTAAACAATGAAAAAGCAAAAATAGAGCAAGGCAATAGCATCTTCTTCCCCAAGATACAAACTCACATTGTCCAAAACAAAGATCACCACGGTACTTCAAGACTTACCACTGATCTCGTGAAAATGAAGTGATGAAGCGAATTCCAAGAGGAAGCTGAGCCATCTACTCTACAGCTGGTATCAAATTTTTGGCAACACAATTATGAACTTGTGACAACGTTATGTGTTCTTCAGAATGCGTAACAAAGATCCTCTCAAATTTTTGGCAACACAATTATGAACTTGTGACGTTATGTGTTCTTCAGAATGTGTAACAAAGATTCTCCGAAAGCCGTGCGATGGTAGGCTGTTAACAAACGTGGAAGATACGCTGCCGAGTTGTTCTCCCTGTAGATTTTTTTTTTTCCCCTTATACCTTCAGTCACAACGTGGCAAATTCTTCACTCTGTCTTTGTTAATTGCTGCTCTTCAAATAAGAGAAGCTGCTAAGTAAATATTCTTATCGAGTTATTATAATGTTTTCTAATCTAACATTTGAATCAGCAATTATCTATTACAGAGACAAGTAATTACCATAACTAGCCTTCTAGATATCAAAAACCTAATGGAGAATTTTAAGCCAATATAAATCGCAGCCTTTTCTGAATTTCATCATGTATAATCTATTTTGAGAAATCAGCATAGTATAAAGCAGCGGGAACACTAGGGAAAGCTG